AAAGTAAAGTAATTACATGACGTTTATGTTGACACATAGGTCATAAATAAATTAAGACAACTCCTATGGCTCCTGCCAGTTGTCATACTCATCGACATGAAAGTCGTGATTCCTATTACAAGAACATGATCAATCTCATACATCACATATATCATTCATCACATCCTTTTGGCCATATCACATCACACGGCACATGCTGCAAAAAAAAGTTAGACGTCCTCTAATTGTTGTTGCAAGTTTTTACGTGGCTGCTATAGGTTTCTAGCAAGAATGTTTCTTACCTATGCCAAAACCACAACATGATATGCCAATTTCTATTTACCCTTCATAAGGGCCCTTTTCATCGAATCTGATCCGACTAAAGTGGGAGAGACAGACACCCGCTAGCCACCTTATGCAACTAGTGCACATCAGTCGGTGGAACCAGTCTCACGTAAGCGTACGTGTAAGGTCGGTCCGGGCCGCTTCATCCCACGATGCCGCCGAATCAAGATAAGACTAGTAACGGCAAGTAAATTGACAATATCGACGCCCACAACTGCTTTGTGTTCTACTCGTGCATAGAAACTACGCATAGACCTAGCTCTGATACCACTGTTGAGGAACGTAGCAGAATTTTAAAATTTTCTACGCATCACCAAGATCAATCTATGGAGTCATCTAGCAACAAGGGAGAGGGGAGTGCATCTACATACCCTTATAGATCGCGAGCGGAAGCGTTCAAGAGAACAGGGTTGATGGAGTCGTACTCGTCGCGATCCAAATCACTGATGATCTAGCGCCGAACGGACGACACCTCCGCGTTCAACACACGTATGGTTGGGAAGACGTCTCCTCCTTGTTGATCCAACAAGGGGGAAGGAGAGGTTGATGGAGTCGTACTCGTCGTGATCCAAATCACCGATGATCTAGCGCCGAACGGACGGCACCTCCGCGTTCAACACACATACGGTTGGGAAGACGTCTCCTCCTTCTTGATCTAGCAAGGGGGAATGAGAGGTTGATGGAGATCCAGCAGCACGACGGCGTGGTGGTGGAAACAGCGGTGATCTCGGCAGGGCTTCGCCAAACTCAGCGAGAGGGAGAGGTGTCACGGGAGGGAGAGGGAGGCGCCAGGGGCTAGGGTGCGGCTGCCCTCCCTCCACCCACTATATATAGGACCCCTAGGGGGCGCCGGCCCTAGGGGATCCAATCTCCAAGTGGGGCGGCGGCCAAGGGGGTGGCTTGCCTCCCAAGCCAAGTGGGGCGCCCCCACCCCTAGGGTTTCCAACCCTAGGCGCAAGGGGAGGCCCAAGGGGGGCGCACCAGCCCAACAGGGGCTGGTTCCCTTCCCCACTTCAGCCCATGGGGCCCTCCGGGATAGGTGGCCCCACCCGGTGGACCCCTGGGACCCTTCCGATGGTCCCGGTACAATACCGATGACCCCCGAAACTTTCTCGATGGCCGAAACTGGACTTCCTATATATAATTCTTCACCTTCGGACCATTTCAGAACTACTCATGACGTCTGGGATCTCATCTGGGACTCCGAACAACTTTCGGGTTACCGCATACTAATATCTCAACAACCCTAGCGTCACCGAACCTTAAGTGTGTAGACCCTACGGGTTCGGGAGACACGTAGACATGACCGAGACGACTCTCCGGTCAATAATCAATAGCGGGATCTAGATACCCATGTTGGCTCCCACATGCTCCTCGATGATCTCATCGGATGAACCACGATATCGAGGATTCAATCAATCCCGTATACAATTCCCTTTGTCAATCGGTACGTTACTCGCCCGAGACTCGATCGTCGGCATCCCAATACCTCGTTCAATCTTGTTACCGGCAAGTCGCTTTACTCGTACCGTAATGCATAATCCCGTGATCAACCACTTGGTCACTTTGAGCTCATTATGATGATGCATTACCGAGTGGGCCCAGAGATACCTCTCCGTCATACAGAGTGACAAATCCTAGTCTCGATTCGTGCCAACCCAACAGACACTTTCGGAGATACCCGTAGTGCACCTTTATAGTCACCCAGTTATGTTGTGACGTTTGGCACACCCAAAGCACTCCTACGGTATCCGGGAGTTGCACAATCTCATGGTCTAAGGAAATGATACTTGACATTCGGAAAAGCTATAGCAAACGAACTACACGATCTTTGAGCTATGCTTAGGATTGAGTCTTGTCCATCACATCATTCTCCTAATGATGTGATCCCGTTATCAATGACATCTAATGTCCATAGTTAGGAAACCATGACTATCTTTTGATCAACGAGCTAGTCAACTAGAGGCTCACTAGGGACGTGTTATGGTCTATGTATTCACACATGTATTACGATTTCCGGATAACACAATTATAGCATGAACAATAGACAATTATCATGAACAAGGAAATATAATAATAACCATTTTATTATTGCCTCTAGGGCATATTTCCAATAACTATAAGCCTTGCAAGCAATGTAGCTAATGAGTTAGTTACGGGATGTAGCATTACGGAACGAGTAAAGAGACTTGCCAGTAACGAGACTGAACTAGGTATTGAGATACCGACGATCAAATCTCGGGCAAGTAACATACCGATGACAAAGGGAACAACGTATATCGTTATGCGGTTTGACCGATAAAGATCTTCGTAGAATATGTGGGAGCCAATATGAACATCCATGTTCTGCTATTGGTTATTGACCAGAGACGTGTCTCGGTCATGTCTACATAGTTCTCGAACCCGTAGGGTCCGCACGCTTAACGTTCCGTGACGATCGGTATTATGAGTTTATATGTTGTGATGTACCGAAGATTGTTCGGATATGATCACGGACATGACGAGGAGTCTTGAAATGGTCGAGACATAAAGATCGATATATTGGATGACTATGTTTGGACATCGGAATGGTTCCGGGTGAATTCGGGTATTAACCGGAGTACCAGGGGTTACCGAACCCCCCCCCCCCGGGGGGGAGTATATGGGCCCTAATGGGCAAGGTTGTCAGAATCGCGATTCTGTTATACGATTCTACGACTTTACGATCCAAACTAACCCCTATGATTCTATGATTTTAGTTCATAGAATCTGCGTTTCTACGATCCTGATAGTGAAGATTCTATGATTTGCGATCCTACCATCAGTGCTCCGATCCGATTCAAAATCGCGATTCTGACAACCTTGCTAATGGGCTTTAAGGGAGAGAGGGAGGGGTTGCCTAGGGCAGGCCGCACGCCCCCCAAGGCTAGTCCGAATTGGACTAGGGGGAGGGGTGGCGCCCCCTCCTTCCTTCTCTTCTCTCTTCCCTTTTCTTCTCTCCTACTCCTACTACATGGAAGGGGGGGGGGAATCCTACTCCCGGCGGGAGTAGGACTCCCAGGGCGCACCATAGTAGAGGGCCGACCCTCCCCCTCCTTCACTCCTTTATATACGGGGGAGGGGGCACACCATAGACACACAAGTTGATCATTAATCTCTTGGTCGTGTGCGGTGCCCCCCTCCACCATAATCCACCTCGGTCATATCGTAGCGGTGCTTAGGAGAAGCCCTGTTCCGGTAGTATCATCATCACCGTCATTACGCCGTCGTGCTGACGAAGCTCTCCCTCGACACTCTGTTGGATCGTGAGTTCGTGGGACGTCACCGAGCCGAACATGTGCAGATCGCGGAGGTGCCGTACTTTCTCCCCCCTTGTTGCTATGCATCACCATGATCTTGCGTGTGCGTAGGATTTTTTTTAAATTACTGCGTTCCCCAACAAATGGCGGCGAGGCGACCTGGTCGGAGGCCCGGCGCTAACGGGCGGCGCCGCTCCTTCCTCACCTCCGTTCGACGGGAGCTCGTGGCGAAGGACGGTGGTCTTTTTCTTGCAACATCCTCTCTATTGCAAGAAAGATTTCTTTAACGTTAGTGGGGTTGCAAAACTTTCTTTAGTAACACCTGTATAAAGGTGAAAGACAAATTTGCTTGCAACATTAGCTCTGTTGCAGAAAATACTCTGCAGCAATACTTCTGTTGTAAAAGTTTCGCAACATAAAAAAATAAGACCAACCCAAGTGCTAACCCTCGTTAGCTTTTATTTATAGAAGAAACTCTGCGAATGCCGCGTGTTAGAGCCTAGGCTCGAATCCAGGTGGGTTGGCAGCTACCCCAGCCACCCAGCCAATGAATTGACGTCTCGTCCTCAAGTTCCGCAGCATGAACTCTGTTGCAAATGTCCGAGCACAACATTATTCTTGTCGCAAAGCTCACAATTTGAATCTGACGGCTCCCAGTGGTCTAGGTGACCCATGACCCAAGATAGCACATTCTTTTATCGGCCAAAAAATTGGCTTCTTGCATGCGACTTCCATAGAAGAAATTTTCTTTTGTCAAAGATGGTACACGAATTACCTCGACAACGAAGAGAAGATTTTAGTAGATAGACACCTTTACACGTTGAATCCCATTATGCATTCGTACAAGAACGTCATCCACATTTGCACAAGAAGATTTGTCAACCGTATGTTGTTGGCGATATCAGGCCTCTTTAATAGGATTAAAGTGTCACGTGATCTTAAATTCTGTAGGAAAAAAACTACTACTCCCTCCGTCCCAAAAAGCTCCTCGCTAACAAGAAATTGGATGAATGAGTATATGATAGTAGCACAGAAAAAACAAAGAAAATCTACTGAGAGGTCTTAGTAGATAGATTATTTTTTTCAAAAAAAGAGTGCAAATGATTCCCAAAATCTAAGGATTCAAATATTGCGAATCAAACAACCACGCAAAAGAAAGGACCTAAATCCTTAAAAATTTCTTTTGAATCAAAGGAGCTCTCATTGAGGAGGCTCAGTGGGGACAGTGCACGCAGAGAAAGAGGGCAAACAGCATGCAAGAAATTGACAGGAGTTGATGCTCTTCAACATAACCTGAATTTTACAACATGTTACATGCACGCCGCAAGGATGGCAATGAGCCTCAGAGGTTTCAATGACAGCATCCCCTCCAAACCGCAGTATTTTTATAGCAGATCCCTAAATCGCCATCTCTGCCTGAAGTTTGGTCAGTTCAGCGAAATCGCTGGCCGCCAGTCGAGAAGAACTCGCCGCCAACGCTGATGGCGCCACGCGTGTCCCCCGAGGCGGTTCAGGCAGCTCCAGGTCCAGTTCTTCCTCCTCGAGGTCTTCCAGTTCCGCCTCTAACTCGTCCTGATTCGGGAAAGGAGCAATGTGTGACGGTATGCACCGGACAGTAAACGTTGGTAAACCGGTGCAAAGGGTTAAATAAACCAATCCATACCTCGTCGAATTCAGCCGAAGCACCGAATGGTGTAGCAAGTGCGTCCTGTATCTGTTTCATATTTTCTGTATGTTCATTCGCCTCTTCGATTGCATTCTCAATGTCATCGATACTCCTGCGGAAGGATTCCACATATGTCAGCCCATTCAGGTATGGATATATTATCGGCAACCAATGGGCTGCATTCCTACATCTATGCCAGGTAGCTTATACATGTATGGATTGTATGGCCATTGCTGCTGGGTGCGCATGTCACGACTATAAATGGAAAATGTTCAATGAACGGGGTCTAGTTAAGCTTTGGCAGGCGCAAAAACCCAAGAAAACACGAAGGGAAAATTAAGCAAACCTGAACTAGCTTGGACAGAAATAACTATTGGGGACAAATTTTCATTTTAGAATAGAAAAGGCAAAGTGAAGCCCTTTGGCGCATGGAAATCCTACACCTTGGAATGCCACTGAAATGCACCAAGGAGGGATGATGGACTCTTACAGGGACTGTTGAATAGCTTTGACAGCAGATGACCCAGAGCGCAAAGCATCAACAGTGTCAGTTGTTGCCTTTGCATTTTCAAGCATTATAATCTGCACAAAATAATCTCCTATCAGTTTAATGCGTGGGCATATATTGAAATACTTCTATGTCTTACATTACCTGATCATGAACTCGCAACTGAAAATTTGATAGCTGCTCAATCTGTGTTTCATACAACTTCTTTTTCTTTAAACACTGAATCGCAGCTGCAACAAAGAAGCCGTTTCTCATGCAAGTTACAAAACCATAAAAAACTAAGAAGCATTACTTGTTATTCCAGGACCAAATAGCCATTAGCTAGAAACCTTTTTTAGACATGCAAGCACAGACTAGCAGTGTAAGTTTTTGCCTTGTGTCGATAGATTCTGTGTAAGACCTGACAAATAAATAAAGGTTTTCCACTAGGCTTACCATTCTTATTCTTTGCCTTTGTATAGTCCTTAGCCTTTTCTATTTCCGCGGAAGACTTTTTCTGAAGCAAACGCTCTTTCTTCTCCAGCATTTCTAGGGTCTACACATTACCACAAAGTATTAACATATAAGCCACTGAGAATGAAAATATATGATAGTCAAATTAGCATTTAGCTGTATTCATAACTTGAGAAACTCAAATTTATCTTTTTGTCTAGCTGGTATGAGCCCCTGAACATATAAGAGTCTATCAAATTCTCTCCGATAAACTAAAAATATCTCAGACATTGCTGTGAAAAATGTTACTGTTGCAATAATGTGCGCAACACTAGGAAAGTGAGGACATGATGGATCGATGAGTATAATTAAGCTGAGGCTGCAGCGGGGAATGAACACTACAATACATCAACCTAATCTGACTTCGCATTAGGTTATTCTTTCTACAGTGACAA